ACAGGAGGGGTGAAGAGTGTAGGGGGACAACCACTTGCAAATCAAAACCACAAATCAACCAGTGAAGGATTCTCTGACTTGTGGAAGCAATGAGGGCAAAAAGTGATAGGAAAGAGGGGTGTGAGGGGGTGATAATGATTGGGTGAGGGGGTAGGAGGGCAGAAGGGAAAGAAAGGCGGAGGTGGGGTGGGGTGGAGGGGGGATGAGAGTTGAGTTGGGGAGGGTCTAGTAACCGCAAATCAAGTAGTGATCAGTCGCCTCACTTAGTGTTTCTGGAATGTTCCAGCCTATAGCACCTGCAGGGAGCGGGAGACAGCCCGACAAGTCCTGCCAAGCTCTGGAGGAATTCAACAGAGAGGGGGGGAGGAAAGGGGGAGACAGGGAGGGAGGGAGGGGTGTAAAGGGTTTTCCTTGCACCATTTGTCAATTTGCCTCTCAACAGTTCCATCACATCAGTTTATCTACAGGAGTAACAGACTGTAAACCAAATTGGGCTACAATACGGGTGTTCCACAAAAACGTGCTGTATTAGCTGGGGGCAATATGATGTTATGAAGTGCGAGAAACTCAAGTAAGAAGTCGAGGTGGTCCAATGAGACAAACACAGGACCATTACCCAGGAGTTAAGGATTAGCGTCCCTTGTGAAATCAACAATCTTCTTTAAGGTTTGTTATGTATGTAACGCAACTTTGGGCTGGGATTAAGGTCAAAAACATTATGAAAAATATGTACATAACTTCCCTTACGTGACCGACTTACTTATCGTAACCCGACCATGACTTGCTTTAAACCTAGGCGAGTATTTTCCGTCCCTTATGCGAACCAAAGTGGAACATATTTCTGTTAAAGTTGGAAGGGGAAATCCATGCGTAGACAAGGCAAAACATGACATTGCATATGTAGCTTATAGACTTTTTATCGCTCAGCTACAGATAGTCTTATGTTCCCCGAAACCCTGTTTCCATTTCATTGCCAACTGTTTTAACATACTCGGCCAAAATCCCAATCAGAATTGTTTAGCCAACGTCACAGACATTCATCGCCTGAGCAGAGAGCGTCAAAGCAGCCAAGAAACTCAAGTTGAACTGCTCCTGTCTAAATATAAATTGACCCTCATTTTTGTATCTTTGTATGCATGATTTGTTTTAGAGCATAGCATGAAAGTTCGGGGATAAGTCAAAACACTTGTTTCCTTTAAGTCTGAAAGGGTCAATGTAGAACTGCCACAAGATATCTCAAAGGCATCAGTCCAGGATTTATTTACACTAATTTAAATGTCTGTCTGTCTGTTCCAAGAGTGCCAAACTTGCTCTTTAAACCCCATTAGTCACCACAGATTACACAGTTTGAACAAATGTGTACAAGACATCCATCTAGCATTCCAGCTGGATCAAGAACAAACACAAAGAGTTCATTTCTGTCCAGGTAGAACAGAATCACTCGCTAAAAAAACGTCCACTCCCTCCTCTCCTCCTCACCATTCCTCCTCACCGGTGTGTGATGTTTTCCCTGTGCCAACAGCTGTGTCAGCCCTAACAGACACTTTGGAGAAGGTCCTGAAGGTTTCCCCTCTATCCCTGCATGTTCCCTAAAACATCATTTTTAATTAAACCATCACAGACATTAACTGCTGAATGTGAAAGTAATCTCTAAAGATAACAACCAGGATAAAGAAAGGGGGCTGCCTTAAAGCGATGTAAAGTGGGTTGTGGTTTGATTTGAAAACTAATAAATGATGCTAACTTTTCATAAAACACACATAAATGTAGGTGAATGTGGCTAGATTATATTTCACATCTTTAGCTGTCACCTCGTGTTAGCACTCTACTTGTGCAACATTAGCCAAAGAAGATCTCTTTAGCTAGTTTAAACATACTGTTCGCATCATGTGGATAGGCCTAGTTAGCAAACTGGAGAGCTATCGCAAGCAAAATAATGCTCTAATGTTACGCATAGCCTCTGCCAAAGCTAGCAAAGCAGCATACCTTGGCCATAAACGATAACCAACAGATTTTATTTTAAGCTAGCTACGAAGGAAACATAAAATTCAAACGATTTTTCAAAACCGGCAAAAAAATACACCACAGGCTTCCATCTCTGGTTCAGCAGTGTTACAAATTGGAAGACATTAGTGCTAAAAGCCAACATATCTGCCGATATCCTTTCAGTTTTCACTGTTAGGCATGATTTCTTAGAGGTGTTGCTAAATGCTAGTTGCAAAGTAACAAAAAAATGTTGCAAGATACTTCATCAAATTCTTGTGAAAAGAGAGCCAATATGAACAAAATAATTCCATAAAAGTGACTCAATTAAATACAATATATCCAATTTTTACCAAGTTCCAGGCTCAATATTATCGCAGTATGTGATCTGGTTGTCAAAACACTTTTATATATCAGATTTCTATTCCCATAAAATCAGGTTGTTTGCAGAGACAAAGGGCCACTCAATACCCATATGTCTGTATGGTTAACAAAACGTTAGTAGCTAGAGTGCTAATGCTCTGTCGTCCTGCAAACTGACATAATGTAACTTAGAAACAAGCATGTTAAGTCTTATCTAAAAACAGTAATAGCCTAGTAGCTACCTGACTAATGCTGCACCAACCAAAGACCCAAGATTACAGCAACCCAGACCACCCAATGAACTCACATCTGTCGGTCACTCAAACCAATACAAACGCACACGTATTAATCCACCAAGCCTCCCAGTCACCCACCCACCCACACGCACATATACAAGACAAAACATCAGGGAGGTGGGAAGTGGGTGGAGGAGTCAATTCAAAGTCAATGCAGCTCCATCAGCTGAGTCCCATTGAGACGCAGGAAGCTTTCTGCTGCTGAATCGCTTTAATGTCACTCAGTCAGCGTCTCTATCACAGCCGACGTTGAATTTAAAGAGATTCAAATAGCATTGAATATTCCACTTTTTGACAACCTTATATTGAAGTTTCTGAAGTTTAGGGACAGCAACGAAATCTTGGGAGATATCAAAGAAAGGTATTGCCCAATTTGATTATCCTCTACCAAACGTTCTACAAAATGACCAAGAAAGAAGCCATGTCGGCCGCTGTCAGTCTGACTGACGCCATCAAACAGCACAACTGGGTCTTTCTTATTCTAATTCAGGAGGTAATGGCTGTAGTGCTGCACTGACCCTTCACCTCACAACTTAACCTGACCCCTTGTCATCACAGATGGCCAGTCTGTGTCTCAGTAAATTCTCAGTTTCCTTTCAAAACTCAAAATGTTCACTCAAAGCCTTTTGAATACTTTATCAGTTGCCATTTGGTTTTACATTTTGTCACTCTTCTTATCCTTGTAGCATCAACTATGCAATCACTGGAACGCAGAGAAAAGTTCATTTCTATGCTACGCCAAGACAGGTTATTGTTGTAAAACCAGCACATGTTAGTTCAGTTTAGGCATTTTGGCTAAGAAGAAAAGATTTGTGAGGCGGGGTTACACCCTGGACTAGTCACCAGTGAATCACAGGGCTGACATATAGAGACAGAGAAACTTTCACGCTCAAACCTATGGGCAATTTAGAGTCACCAATTAACCTAACGAGCATGAGCAATGGCCCCCTCCAGGTACTCCGGCATGCATGATTAAGCCGGAGTACCCCGGGGTGTAACCCCGCCTCTCACCCAATGATGGTTGGAATTGGCTCCATCCCCCTGCGACCCCAAACAGGGCAAGCAGTAAAGATAATGGATGGAGAAAAGATCATATTCAGTAAAAAATAAGCACCTATGTAGAAAGTCCTAATGACTCATATTTTACATTATTTAAAAAACAAATGAACCCAACGTTGACTTGGACTGTCTTGGGTAAAGGTCCTACATTTGACTTTTCTCACTCTTTATTCTACAGCACCATCACATCAAAATGTCATGCAACGGTAGAGCGACCAAAAGATACTCAAAGTGAACTCAAACTTCAAGGTTTTACAGCATAGGGGTATTGACTAAGAGGGCATATGTGATGAGATTGGCGTAAGAAAACAGGGTTAGGAATCTTTTCAGGAGTTACAAAAAGTAGAGGGTTTAAGTCACTTGTTGCCAAAATTCATATTAGCAGATTTGTGAGACATGAATGAGATTTCATTTTCCGCTGAACCAAATGTTCATATCTGTTTATCCTTTAAAAACACCAGAAGGTAAAAAAGGTACAATAGGAAACCAGTTTAAGAGCGCTTTAACATCAAACTAGTTTTTAACTCTTTAAACTGTCCTTACATAGTTTTGAATGGAATCAAATAGAAAGAACTAGCCAGGTTTTCTTTGAGGACTAAAATGTGGCTTGGTGAAAGCATGCTTCCCTAATAATCTCCTTTACCTACATATTCATGAGTGGGCGGGGCTTGACTTGCAAATGACAGTGAGCGGGCACACTCAAATGTGAGCTGCTTTTTTTTTTTCGCTCCCTCGGGCTACAAATAAAATGCAAACTTCAGTGTAAAACAAGCAAACATCGTCTGCATAGTATGTTGCAGCTTTAAATCCAACTGAATGTTTAATTTAAAGCCAAATGACTGTCAGAATAAAATACAAGTGCGAGAAAACAATGACAGACATGTGATTAAATCTTATGTATAGTGATATTAAAAAAAAAAATCTTCAGATGTGAGTCAGACTGAAGACACCCACAGGGTGACGCGTGGAGCACTGACTGCATGTAGGAGACCTGTGCAAGGGTGCAGGTCTCTGCAATGGACAACATGCGCATGAAAAAATGTCTTTGACCGTGTAACCAATGCAACAAACGACATTGTTGAGTCATTTAAAAAAAAAAAAAAAGTGGAATCATGCAGATTCTGTTACTTTGGTGCAGCTGTCTGCAGCAGAAAGACGAAAAGTCTCCAGTAATTACACAGACAGTCGCCATGCAAAAAAAAGAAGCAACAGATTCATTCAGTCTGTTTCGGCTCACTAAATAAACCGAGAGGATCCACTTCACCTGAAGGAGAGGAATAGTAAACAAACTGCACTTACTCCGTGCGCAGATCTCACCGCCACGGCGACTGCTATCACACAAATCCTGCGAAACAAAATAAACATTTTTGTTAGTGTGTTTATTCCAGAGATTTATCCGGCAGGTTACCTGCTCCGGAGCTGGGCTAAAGTAGCTCCGCGCAAGCCGCGAGCAACGCCGCTGCTGCTGCCTGCAACTTCACTTTAGTAAGAAATATTCACAAAAGGCGATTTTAAAGAGAAGTTGCTCACAGGAATTTCATTTTGATCCGACTGGCAGAGAGGGAACCACAGGTCGAGACTCGACTCCCTTGTCTTCACCAGCAAGGCTCTTCAAACGCGCTCATCCACGGCTCCAAAAAACCCTGTCATCTACCCGGAGACACAGAAGCGAGAGATAAAGTAGTCCCCCCCAGCAACCGACAAACGCAACCCTTCTGTTCACACTAATACACTCACACACACAGCGTCAAGCGCTAAAACACAGCCGGCACAGAAAAGCCTCTGTGTCCGTGATTTCTTTCATAAAATCAGAGCTTATCCAACTCACCAAAGTTGCAGCGGTGAAGTCGCTGCTGCGCTCTCCGGGCTGTTGCGCTTCAACTCAGCAGCGCTCCACAGCAGCAGGAGAGGAGGGGCCAACAACACATGTCATTCATGCCCCCATACCTTTGGCTACAACTGAGTTTTTACCCTCGAACACGGAGCAGAAACTCTTCAGATTGTCTGCTGACTGCAAACGGGACTGTTCTGTCCCCAGCTGGACTCGATAATAGGTTTAGTCCTTTAAAAAACTCCTAAAACCTGAAATACAAAAAAAGCCCCGTATATTCACGAATCACAAGTATAATCTAATAAAAACCTTTTTTTGTAGTTTTTGTTATTTTTGTATTCCTCTGCAGTATGATCATTACATGTCTTAAAAATTGTTTCTCAACATTTACTTCAGTTTTATGATACTTAATGCTACATTATCACTTGTGGTATCTTTAAAAGTGAAATTATACTCTTTTAATGTTCTACTAAGCAGTATGACATGATGTTGGTGATGGTAATTTTGCGGAAAACGTAAAAAAAAAGTGTATTTTTTAACTTAAATCAATGACCTGTCTTTGTTATATTACAGCGTTATCATATATCTGAGGTATAAAGGCTTGTACTTTGAATTGCTTTGCTGATGAAATGTGTTATAAACTTGCCTTGCCTTGAATAAGATCTAATAAAATAAACTTAATTTGAACATCTCTGTTATAATCTCTGCTATAAATATGACACCCATGGTTACTGAAGTTGTAAAAAGTACTGAATTAGTATGACAACACCGTTTATTTCAACATTTATTTTCAAAAAGATTTTGTTGCCATTGAGCAAATGTTCGTGCCTGATGTATATAATATTTAGTATAAGTCTTTTTTCTTCCTCTGCATCTTGTTTGGAGCTGTGGCGTTCCACAGGGCTCCTTCCTGGGTCCTTTGCACTTTTGAACTCAGCCGAATAATCAGTACCGTCATTGCTCTCATTATTACACCTGGTCTTTGTTTGCTATATGGCGTATAGGAATAACACACCAAGATCAAGATGAACTTTATTATCCCACAAAAAGCACCATTTCCACCATTGGTCCAGTTCAGTTCCGTTCCGCATTGGTACACATTAATTGGCAATTCCACTGTTAAAAGTTTGGAATGGTACCAAAATGACCGTTCAGTCGTACTTTTTTGCTACCCTTCTTTTGGGGTGCTGATCTGACCCTAAAGGTCGGAGCTAGTCGTGTGACAGCTGTAATAAATGACAAAAACAAAACAGTGACATGTTTAAATATCCTGTGGATTTCTAGATTAATTTCAAGCTGTTTTTATGACTAATGTCAGCGTGTAGCATCGTCCCACGGATGACCTCGGAGGTCCAGACCTCTGCTGGACATCCTCCATTGTTGCCAATGTTTACTGTGTCGCATTCTTCTTCTTCCTTGAATTTGTTGGCGGGCAACACTGCATCATGCCGCCTTAATGTCACACTATAACGAAGCTATCACTATCTGGCTTACACTCTGCTTACCAAGTAAGGGTCTGGCTGTGAAAACACAATCAAGATCAGGGTTTATGGTATCAAACCGTACAAAACCAAACCATACTGAACCAAACCTGGATCACTCGGTGGCATCAGGGCAGTGAGAAATTTGTCTTCGGCTCTTCACCCAAACTGCAGCCATGAAAAGAAAACATTCAACAGGTTAAAACCAATGTTTCCAATCATTTTTCTGTTACATCACATCACATTTTTCACGATGGCTAAGATAGTTTTTCGCTTTTTCTAACTAATAATGGGCAAATGTTAAAGACAGAAAACGTCAGATGATATTGTTAAAGGTGCTCATTACTTCATGACCGTTACCTTTACCTCAAAGACAAAGGTATTCTGACAAAGGTCACCACCAAAACTTTGGTTTAAAGATCACATTCTGGAGCCCTTTAAAACCAAATGTTTTGAGTTAACATCTTTAGGATGTAGTTCCAGTGTATCCTATCTGAAGCTTGCAGAAAAAATGTCAGACCTAAAACCCTCAATTTTCCAACCAATGTTGAATTCAAGGTCGCCATTACACTATTCAAAAGCTTCACTGTTTTGAAGTTGATACAATGTGGAACATGTGAATGGTTACCAAATTTTGTCTGTTTGAGAAGTGACGAATGGGGGATCTAGTTATACATTCAGTTATTCATTCACTCTACAACTCTACAATTCTACAAATCATTTAGCAGACGCACAAGCTTTAAGTCCGATCGGATACACAGGTGCTGACAGGCATTGCACAGGCATTGCATAGATTTGCTAACCCAACATTGACTGCTGTTCTTCAGAGCTCTGATCAACATAGAAAACCATCTTAAAATCGTCGTTATCAAACACTTCTGAAATGTTCTGCCTCCAGTTGATTGAACACCTGTGCCCTCTTTGAATTCAAATGCAAAAAAGCTGATCTGGAACCAGAATTAGAACTGGATGACCATTAAGTATTAGGCTGTATTCAAATTCATAAACTGGCAACTTTCTGTAGTGTTTAAGCTTGAAAAAGACATCATGATATCAATCAGAGTCAAAAGGTAACATAATCAAACTCTTTGGAGCCCATAATAACTCATTTTGATATTAAGGTTTAACAACACTCAGTGGTGGACCCAGAGATCCCCAAACACTGCTAGGCCACTAGTGGTGCCCCCTTACAAAATAAAGTCTAACGTGTAACGTTTGGTATGAAAAAAATTAGTAATAGCCATTTCAAGGGGTCTTATCACAGACTGATACTGAAGACTTCTAGTTTTGAACATTTCATAAATAAAAGTGTTAACACCTGACATCGTAGCAGCATCTCTGAATAATGCGCCACAATCTTTAATAGCTTTCTTACTTCCATTCAGGAGGATTTAACTGCAAACTGAGAAAGAAATAAAATGATGTTGTTCTTTACTTTTCTAATTTAAAGTGTCTACTTTGTCTCATTCTGCCAAGCAGCCTCCCCCATGTCAGGAGTCAAAAGTGAGTATTTGACCTTTAATAATCTGGCAGGAATGCAACGTGCCCGGGCGTATAGAAAATGTCAAATAAAGGTTTAATGTCAAAGCTTTTTTTCTGCAGCCTCGGGCGTCGGGTAGGATTGGATACACAAGCAGAAAGAAGGCACCATCAGGTTATCCATCCGCCCCTTTGCGAGGTCCTAACATCCAAGTGGAGGCGGATTAAAAAACAGCAGAAACCAGAAAGTGTTTTATGGAGTGAGGCGTTGCACATCGATGCTCTCTTTTTTTTTAATGCGTAATTCACCAAGGAAGTTTATCTTAGATGAGCTGTGTGTCTTTAGTGCTATAGGTGCATGGTGCTCATATCAGTGCGCGCCCTGAGTTTTTTGGGAAGTAGATCCGGCTGGGGCAGGTTTGCAAGTCGAGGAGAGAAAAAGTTTAGTGAGGGGGACTGCAGAGGCGCACGGTGCCAGAGCCAGGACCACTAGGGAGCCTCTGCTAAGCGCAGCAAACAGCCCGACACGCCGAGCCGAAGAAGAAGGAGAAGGAGAAGAAGTGTTTTCACATTATTTTATTCTTGCGTGCTTGGGGGGTGAAGAGCAGGGCTATGACACGCGATTAAAAAAAAAAAAGCCGTGCAGTTTGTGAGTGTTAACGCAGGCGGATTCTTGTGTTATTCCCCCCCCTACTCTCTCAAGATGAATAAAGACTTGAAGAGCCTGCGACAGCTCGCCGTGCCTCTGCTCCTCCTCGCCCTGAGCGTCGCGGTGCAGCAGGCGGACTCTGCGGTAAGTCCGGTTTCAACCTTTTCTTTGTATTTTGTTTTGTTGCAGATTTCACAGGTTTTAATATCAGGCGAGAGGAACCCGAGAGACCCTGCTGCCCTGAGTCAGCCGGCGCCGGGACACCAACCGGCTCTCCCAGCAAAGGTTTATAAATAGAGAGGCTGCTTTATAACAAGAGCTTTCTGCTCTAATGATAATAATAATAATAATAATCCCGACGCTGTTATACTCTTTGTTGCAATGAAAATCATTTTTTTTAAAAAAGCTTTCTGTTGGGTGTTTAGGACACTTTATTTAATCCCTCCCTCACGAGCTCCGCTTTGTAGTTTTTTTTCATGGAAGTCCCGGACGGAGTTTCTTGCCCTGCACCGTGCGCATCACGTTTCCTCTTCCCTGTTCTGTTCCGTGCAACCGGGCAGGCAGGCGACCTTGTAGCAGCACGCCAACCGTGCAGGTTGCTCTTTCTTTTTTGTCCCCCCCACAGTCTGCATGCGTTTCAGTAAGCTGGATGTCAAAGATTGACGCGAGATGTTGAGCTGTGGAGTTGTTCAGCGCGCAGTGCAGATCGCTCATAAAACTACAAACTGCTTCAACTTCAAGTTCTGGGATAGATAACTTTGATAATAGTGCTGTTGAGTCTGTTTAATACAAGGCACTAGTGCGCGTTTTTCTCTTTGATAATATGATCGTAAAGCGTCAGAATTTGACGCTTTGGGGTAAAAAAAAAAAACACAAAAAAACCCACCGTGGATTTTGAGTTTTACCTCCCCTGCAGGTGTGTTAGGCTTTATGTTGACAGCCCCCTCTTTCTCACGCACACTGACGTGCACTTTAATAAAATGCACTTTTTTTCTCTTTCATGGTTGTGTTTGCGCCTTAAATCATGCAGAATAAGAATCTGTGCTGCCAGTAGAAACACGACTTTAGCGTCTCCAAAGTGCATCAAGATGTAATTCCTCCATACACTTGACATGTATTAGTAACAGAGATCCAGGAGGGGTGTGTGTGTGTTTGTGTTTGTGCATACTTCAGCCCGCGTTTGTTTGCATCTGTGGCTCTTTTTATTGCAGCTGCAGCGCTCTCAACCCCTGACATCTCTGACGTCTCCACACCACATTGTAAACGAGTCCTCATGTAATATTCAAATAGCAATGTGCTGTAGCATGATGAATATTCATGCCTTCATTAATAATTCATGAATTCCTCTTACATGCTGATAGCCCCGCCCCCCCTTAACACCAGGGCCTGCCCAATCAGGCCTCGCACACTTCCTGTACATCAGAATGTGTGGTATGAGCCTGTAGGTATACA